TCAACTTAAAGGAGAGATTTGCTCTGGCTCATGGGCTCAGTCCCTGATCGCTTGGCCCCATTACTCTTGGGCTTGTGGCAAGGCAGCACCTCATGGTGGGGAGCATGTGGTGGAGCAAAGCTGCTCACTCTGGGACCAAGACGTGAAAAAAGGACAAAAGAAAGACCAGAGTCCCACAGTCCCCTTAGAGGGCAAGCCTCCAATGACCTAAGGACCTCCCATGAGGCCCCACCTTTTAAAGGTTCCACAACCTCCCAATGGCACCACTGTGGGGGCAAGCCTTTAACACATGGGCCTTTTTGGGGCATTCCAGATCCAAATTATAGCCGGGAATTTGCCTGTACTACCTATTGTAATGTTTTAGTGGAAGATGTGCTGATCTTGGGATTAAATCAATACAGTGAGCCTGGCACTCACTAGTGAAGGTGGAAGCCATTGTCAGACACTCACTCATTTTTGGGGGCACATGCTATTCCTTCTCTGGTTGCTTGGTTTGCATATATTTGACTCTCTCCAAGAGCTCCTACCTACTTCTTGGACATGGGACATTCTCCAGGGCTGAGTCTTCTGTGTAGAGTCTATACAAATCCCTTGCTTGGTCCTGGCCTCTCACCCTTCTTTTGGGGTGTTACCACTGGACTGGCAGACAGGGTCTTCTCTTGGGAGTTGGAAATACCAACCTGGCATTTCCCGCTCAACCATCCAAAGCTAAAACTATCATTAGACTCAAAAGCCAAGACCACAGAACAGAGGATAAAGAAGAAAAAAAGAATCAGGCCAATAAACCACTAGATCTGCCTTAGGAGAACGAAGCACTGGGAATCTTGGAAACTAATTTTGCTGAAGCATGGCACAGAGCCAAAGTGGTGGGAGCTCTAACAGCCACTTCCTTGGACAGCCAGGACCTCCTCCCTCTCCTGCAAACCTGCTGTGTATCCTGGGTAGGTCATGATTAAATTAGGTCAGTAGTTCTCAATCTTCCGAGAGTGGTGTTAGAAATTACATCCCCCTGTCCCCAGATATTCTGCTATAGGGCATGGAGGAGGCCAAGGAGTCAACATTTCTAAGCTCCAAGGACAAGGGGATTTCCTAGACTGATGATGTCAGTACAGATGGTCTTGAAGTCCTGACCCTCCTCTGCATTTGGCTTAGGGGAGCAGATCATGAGGAAATGCTGGAAGCCAGCCAGCTCTCTGTCCAAGAAGTATAGCCGTTAAAAGCAGCCAGATGGCAAGGTGGAAGGGAAGGGTCAGGGAGGGCCCTATTCACTGTGTCACTCGGACAGCACCTGTCCAATTAAAACTGGATGTGGGTAAGGCTCAGTGCTAAGACAGCAGGCAGAACCCAGGACCTTCCTTGGTTTCCTCCCCATCTCAGGCGCAGTGAGTCACTCTTTCTCATGCCCCATTCAGTTGTTCCAGAGTTCACAAACTGCAAATATGTTTTGGCCCCACTGTGAAAATTTTATTAGTTTCTGACATTTACAAATTGGGAGATTTCATGTTTAAAAATTCCAGATTTGTCTTAGAAAATCTGAAAGCCAAGCCACTCTGCACTCATTATCCCTGTTATCCCTGGGCATGAGCTAGAGCTGAGCAGCTCCAGTGAGTAAAGACAGGCATTTCCAGCCACCCAGGGCAACAGCCAGCCTGCCTCCTGGCTCACTCACACTACCTACTAGACCCTGTAGAAGGTGCTTTTGAGGTGGCTCCCCTTACTCTAAAACATACTGTAGGATAAGCCAGGACAGCAGAGCACTGGAAATGGCCTGCCCCTGAGGACTGGAGAGCTGCCTCTGGCCAGAGGATTTTCACCTACATGGGACATTAAGAAAGCAGTGATGTAGAACTCACTGCTGTGAGTTGTTTGTGGAGGTGACTGACCATTATATTACATGGCTTCTTCACTGGGGAGGCACAGTAGACAAATGAATCTTTTAGTCTCTGAAAAGTGCTTTTGCACACTTTTTCAATAAATAAATATCACCTAACATGTGAATCAGCAGTTCTACATGTATTTTTCCTAGTAGAAATAAAAACATAGTCCTATAAATATGCTTGCATAAGGGGCTATGGGTGTAGAATCTGTGTGTGCATGCTTAAGGTTCTGGGTTGATCCCTACACCACAGGGGGAAAGAAAACCCAAAACTCTTATGTTAGATACAAACTCTTATCAACAGCCAAAGTGGAAAAACAAATTGTGGTGGATTTATGCAATGGAACATAATTCAGCTATAAACTGATTCTAAATGCAACATGGAAGAGTCTCAAAGTACTGGTGAGTCAAAGAAGCTAATACAGATAGATAATTCCATTTATATGAATTTCAAGAGAATGGAAAACTGATCTGTGGTAATAGGTATCACAGCCTCCCTGGGAGGAAGGGATTCTGGACTGGAAGAGGATCAAAGAAACTTTTCTGGAGGGTGACTGAAATGGTCTATAACTTTATTTGGCTAATGATTACAAAGATGTTATATCTATCAAAACTCATCAATTTGTACTTTTTCTTTTTTGTTTTGGTTTTTGTGTTTTTTCAGACAGGATCTTGCTAGGTAGCCCCAGGCAAGTCTTGAACCTCAGTCTTCCTGCCTCCCAAGTGCTAAAAATTACAGGTATGCAACACATATAGCTTGATTTGTACATTTTACTGGGTATGTAAAATATTTTTTAAGACAAGGTCTATGTAGCCCAGGCTAACCTTGAATTCAAGACCCTCCTGCCTCAGCCTCCCAAGTACTGGGATTACAGGTATATACCACTGTGCCTGTCCTAAAATATTTCTTTAAAAAATCCAAAAAAACAAAAAGCAACAGAGAGGAAGAATCCTGGCAATGGCAGTCCCAGCATGTGTTGGTGGGGATCATAACTGTAATGTAAGAGAAGAGAGATGGAGCCTCCTCAGCTGAGACACACCTAGCTACATGTCCTTCTTTCCCATTTATTAAAACAAATTGTTTGTCCTCTGTAAGCCTTAGTTTTTCTCATCTGAAAAAATGGTGCTGTCCAAGCACATATAGGTTATAATGAAGAACAAACAGGTATTAAAATAAACATCTAGCAGTTTCTGGTGCACAGTTTCTACTCTCCCAGACCCAAACATGCCAAAGCTTAGGTGGTTATCTGCCAGAGGAAAAAATTCAACAGTGAGGGAAAGAGAACCTTGTCTTTCAGGCCTTGAAGAGTTTCAGGTCTTAGAGAAATCCTTTGTTCATCCTTGCTTCAGTAACATGACACAGGAAAGAATTCTTCCCACTCTACTGTCATCTACTGGTCAGAAACGCACAAAAGCCTATGTATGTTGGGATAGTTGATGGGAGAAATGTCCACTTTTCTTGACATTTTCCCCAGGTACATTTTTCATATTGGTACCTGGATGCTGGTGGTTGAAACAGGCAAGGAAAGCACCTAACCCCAGCCCTCCAGTGAATCACAGAAAGTGAGGACCTTGAAAAAACTTCAAGAGAGCTCATGTGTCTCCAGGAATCAGACTCAGGGGTTGTCAGGACGAAGCCTCTGCTATGTCATGTTCTTGTGCAGGTTTCTCAGGAGATCACACTCCTTCACCCATACAAGCAGGGACTAAAAGCCTGGGCTCTGCTTCTGACTCCACTACCACTGATGACCAAGGCACTTTCCATATCTATAAGGCCAATATTTATACTTAAATACAATGGTTTTTGCTGCAACATTGTGGGTTAGAACAAGAACTGTGTGGCCAAAGAGTGTTTGTACATCTTTTGTCCAGATGTGGTTAAAGATACTGGGAACCTGGGATTATTAACAGTAAAGGCAAATTGTATCTTCATAAACAAATCTGTACAATTGCAATTGTCCACAAAACCGTAACTATGTAACTTCACATGCTTATTTTCTTTGCCTTTGTAACAAATAGCTCAGAAAAATATTTACTGATTAAGAATTATTATCTGCTCAGTAGAGATGCCTGAAACCTTCTGCTCCTTTTACCTCCTTAACAGAGTGGCTGGTTCCAGTGTTTCCTTAACTATCTTACCATTGCATAGAGGATGTTAATCTGAAAGTCCAACACTCTCTTTGGGTCAGAAATCTTAGACTGTCTGTGTAAAACATATACACTAAACATAGTAAAACTTATTAAATAATTTTATTCTTTTCTCTTTCATATTACTAACAGTTGGCCAGTGTTAAGCATTAGAAAACCTGAAGAAATATTTTTTTTTTTGGTTTACACAAAGCATATATAAAAATATCTATTCAGAGAAACACATATCTGATAATTACATTGCCCGGCTTTAAGAATGCCCAAAATAAGAATAACCAAATTAAAATACCTGCAAATCAAATGAGAAGGCTAGTTAGCATTGCTAAAATTCATTTTAACAATTTTAGCTAATCAACTTGTGCTAATGAAATTCAAGTTAGAGTTACAGCCAGATAATGAGAGAAAAGATTGTGTGTGGCTACTTAGAGGTATTCCTCAAACAAAATCTGCTTTGTGCTTAGAACATAGTAAGCAGCAATAAAGATTATGAAACCCCAACTTTTCCAATAACCACTCTATAAAAGCAAGGAAAAATGAAAACCGTATTACCACCTTTAACAATGGTTATCAAAATTGGAATTGTCAGTATACTAAGCGCTTAGATTTTTAAAAAAATCAACACAGTAAGATACTTGGTCAATTGCCTTCAATTTTTTAAAATCCCACAAAAGATTTTGCTTGCTTGTATAATAGATTTAATCCACAAGCAATAACCTGAACTGCCTTTGCTTCGTCAAGTATTTTAACAGTGCACAACGCTCACCATGTTCTGTCACTATAGCCTGGTCACTCATCTTAGGAAGGAATCACTGCCAAGGGAAATATAAAGCAGCCAAAAATGCAATGATTTCTCACATGTCAGAGTGTCAACAGGAGACAGGCAGTTTCTTACACAGGTGCTGTGTGAGAAATGTCCCTAAGAAACGTAACATACAGTATTGAATCTTTTGGCACAAAATCCAAAATAGTAATTTTTCTACTTGGAACAGTATTCAACGTGGACAAGCAGATCTCGATGCTCAGCAGCTGGGTATGTATATTGCACTTGGGACATTCCACCAGGCTTTCATTCAGTGCAGTGCTGGGACTTTTTGGTGAGGCAACTTTTACTCTGTTCTCAGTCTCTCCTTGGAAAGAGACTAATGGCTCTGTGAAGGCAAACTCATGAAGTTGTTTCTGAAAAACAAATTTCAAGTTAACATTTGTATACAAGGGCCACTGCTCAGCAATTTTAACTGTTCCATGTATCAGCTAGCTACTTCAGTCCCACAGGCATTTTTCTCTTTTGAATCTCTGCTCATCAAAATTTTGGTGGTAACATTTGAGTTGGTTATAAATCACCCAGATAATTATTGTAATTACTCAAATGGCCCAGGAAAATACTGCAGTTGAGTGTTCACATAGACAGGTTTTATGAAGAGGCACAGAAGTCAAATGTCTGTGAGGCTCACTAAATTTGCTAGTTTTTTTCTTCATTAGCCCTTTAAAAATTTTTTTTAATTAGTGTGTGATAAGTGTACAGAATAATGGCTTTCATGACATTTTCATACATGTAAAATTTTCTAGTTTTATTAAACAGAGGCAACTTGAGCAATAAAGAACTACACAGATCCCAGCACTCAAGAGGCTGAGGCCAAAGGATCAAGAGTTCCAAGCCAGCCTGGGCTACATAGCAAGTCTCTGTTTGGTGTATGTGTGGGGGATAACTATATGGAATTCAGAGCAAAAAAGAATTTTAGCATATCAAACAACTTATACACAGAAATGAAATATTATGCATATTGTATAATGCCTTTGAGACTTCCCTTTTTTCATGTTTTTTTCTTTATAATTTAGTATAGTCAAATAAACTTTAAAATGAGTATTATACAGCACACTATGAAGACAGTAGGAACATAAAGAAAAGCACAGAAAATTACAAGTTCTTTCACATACCTTCTAGCTTCCTATACTTTGAAAACCAATCATTAACAAGGAATGAGTCTAACCTTTAATTTCAAATATTATAAATGGTCAAAATCGAGGTCATACTTAACAACAGAGCCAAGCATACATTCTTTTATTCATATAGAAGTTACAAATTACTTTTTTTAAACAATTGCTTTTTTCCACCTTGAAAATAAAGGAGTTACATTTGTAACATTTCACCCTTTCTAAATATTCTGCAGTACTAGGATGACATATGAAATATGTACTAATCGGGCACAGGTGTGTACACACAGGCGCACACACACACACACACACACACACACACAGATAGAGCCCAACAGGTTTGGTCCAAAAGCTCATTAGTAAAATGAAAATAATGTGAAAAACCACCTCCTCATAGAAACAATATTACTTAAAAGGTTTTTTTTAAAAGACTATGTTTTTAGGCCAATCCAGAATATATACTTAACTCATAATATACCTAAAAAGCAAGCATACTAACAATTACCTGTGAAAAGAGCATCTCTCCCTTTTCATTTTCCACTCTTAATAGAAAAACAATTTCAGTTCAGAATTCTATGATGCCCTGTCTTTCTCCCCTCTCTCCTCGGCCAGGTGCTATTCTGTGCCTGTAGAATCACAACACCTGGGTGGATGGGAGATGACCCTAGACACCAGAAAAGTAACTGCTATCAAGAAGGGCATAATGCCCCTCTCTCTAAGCTCTGAATTAACATTCTTAGGGCAGCTGCTTCAAATGAGGCAGGCTTTGCTTACTGATTTGAGATAAATCCAGCTGTTCTTTAAGCTGTAACCCCTGCTTTGGGAAGTTATTTGAGATATAAATGGAAAGATGACAGAAAGAGAAAGAAGAAAATTTTAGGTTAGCCATTTGAAACTCACCAAGGATTCCAACTGTGTTATCTGATTACTTGCTTTTCGGAGTTCCTTAAGAATGACATGCAGCTGATGCTGCATATTTTGACGGTCAAGTTTTTCATTTTCAAAATCTAAAGTGCATGCCTGCATCTAGAAAATGCCCAAGACAAGACAATTACAGCTGGTAGATACAATCCAGTTTCTTTGACTGGATGCTTGCATTCTTTATTAGCACACAAAGAAAATATCTGTTTTATCACAAAGGCAATAATTCATTTGAGCAAGTGAGATGTTAATGAATAAAAAGGTTTATGACTGAGGACTCAGTTTTCTGCAAGAAGCAAAGTCAAGGCTAGAGGTATAGGTGAGTGAAGAGCAGCTTAGGAGTTGCTGGTTGGAACAATCCCTTCTCATTCCTCTTTTTTGGTGAAGTGAGAGAGGGAGAAGGGAAAGAGATGGCTATTCCTTGGTTTTTAATATACTAAGAATCTCTGCTGTACATTCTGAGAATAAATGGTATCTTAGATCTGCTTGAAGTTATAAGAAAGCCCTATTAAGACACTTTGTTAGGCTAGAGTAGGGACTATGGATTGGGGAAGAGCAAATCAGAAAACTGCCATCACACCTCAATGAATCTGACTTAGCCTCAGGACAGTAATAGAAATGTGAGGCAAGTACAGATTCTCTTCAGATATTTTTTATCTGAAGTCTTTTAAAAGCATTTTCCACAACTTTCAAATAGTTCTCCAAAGAACAGTATAAATCTCAGGAAAACTCCATTTTGTAGCAGACTGAACTGAATTTAGAAACAACCCCAGTGAGTACCTGTTGTTCCAACAGAGCAACCCTCATTTGTTCCTCTTGCTGCTTTAGCAGAGACCTGTAAAGAAACCGGACCTGTAGGATACAAAGAGAGCCAATATTGTCTCATCTGACTTTCATCACTTGACCTGGGATGCATGAGCAGTTTATATCACAAGCAGCATCTCTAACCAGGACAACACCTGCTGAGTGGAATGACTCAGTCCAGCTGGTTGTTTGATGGCGCTCTACAGAAGCAGTTAAGCACTACTTCCCTGGCTGAGCTCCCTGAGCCTCAGATTGACTGCTGTCAAACACTCTGCTCTGCAGTAGCAACTACCTTGCCTCCCCCATTTCCTGGAGGCTTTGACATCTGCCATAATTTCAGAGTAGGACAGCCAAATGGGCAGTGTCTCACCTCCTTGGCTGCAGAATTGGAGCAAAAATTTAGTCATTTCTGCTTAATCTTTCCCAAATGTCACTACTCATGACTATAGATAGAAGTGAGAGCAGTGAAGACAAACAAAATGAATGTTGGACTATTAACTCCTCTTCCTTCCACTCTCAACTTTTGGAGGATTTTTAAATTTACTATTATAATACTAGCCATAACTAACATTGACATTTATTTAACACACAAAGCACTTTTACATTCCTTCAATGACCCTTATGACAGTCCTATGAGGTAAGTAGAGATTACTATTTATTTGACCAGTGAATATTGATTGGGTGAGTCAGAGGATATAAGCAATTTGTCTAAGGCCACATTTCCTGAACTGGAAACAAGGTGTCAACTCCAAGTAATGTTCTTTCCATTATTCCACACTGTCAATCAAAATTTAAATTAATGACTTTCTGTTAAGTCATTTTCAATTCTAATAATTCCAATTTAGTAACTCCAACATTACTAAGATACACTGGCTCAAAGCTCTGAGTACAGTGAGAGCATGGAAGGTGCTCTGTGAATTCACTTGAGCATAGTATTGGCAAGAACAAGATGGCAGTCTAGGAATCAGCCTTGATTCCTCTCACTTTACATCTTTCTTTGGCTTCTCACATATTTGATTTTCACTCAGAGCCATAATTTGTGTGATTTCCTCCACTGAGAGGAAATTTCCACAAAAGTCACCTTGCTGGATCTATGTCGTCAAGTCTTTATCCAAGTATTATCTCCTCTGTGTGGCCTCCACTGGTCCCAGTTTCTTTTTGTCATATTACTCTTTTTATTTTCTTTACTTTGCTTGTTTATTTATGTACCTCTTTGTGGTCTGTTTCCATGTTAGAATAAACTCCTGTGTGTGTGTGTGTGTGTGTGTGTGTGTGTGTGTGTGTGTGTATTATGTGTTGGGAGGAGGGGGGATTATGTGTTTTGTTTCTTGCTAGTTTCCCAGTGGTTAAAACAGTCCCTGACACTTGGTAAGTGTTCAATGAAAATTTGAATTCTGAATCAGGGAGAGCCTTGCTTGGTAAGCTTACCTGAGATAAGAGCTCCTCAGATCTCTTTCTCTCTTCTTCAAGTTTTTCCCTGGCAATATCATTCTCTTCCTTAAGTCTCTGTATTCTCTCTGTTTTATGCTTGCTGTCTTCCAGGTGTCGTACATCTGCCTTTCTTTGTGAACATAACAGTTGATTTAAATCTTGAACTTCTTTTTTAGTTTCTTCATATTTCCTTCGAAACTCACTAAGTTCAAAGCTCAACTGAGTTATGGTTTGTCGTTCAACTTCAAGATCTTTTTTGGCATTTGCCAAGAGGTGATTGTAATATTTTTGTTTCTCTTCTTGAAGATGATCTATAGCAAACAACATCACGGCACAACTCAATTTTATAAAACTGATGACAATCCTGAGAAGTTAAACTTCAAACACATCTCTATAAATAAGCTTGTACCATGTCTGCAGCTTACGAAATGAAGAGTCAGGAGATGGAGGCTATGGGTGATATTTGCTGGATTAAGAAACAGCAATTCAGGGATATTATTTGAAGGCACAAAACAAACAGAAGCACTAAAAGCAATCGTATAATTATTCTGTGCCTAATGTCTCTTTAGTCCCAATATCTAAAGATAATCAACAAATAGGGACATAAACTCATAGATATGAAATATGGAGATAAATATCAAAATTAAAGATAGAAGTATTAAGATGGGATAGGAAAGGTGAGGCAAGACCCTTCTGTACTATTATTACATTATTTTAATCACTCTAAAAAAACAGAGAATACAGGGAGGGAGAAAAGGAGGAAAGGTGACACTGTATTACCAGAGAAATAACTCATAACTAAAATCCTGCTTTTACATATAATCAAGGCACTACATTAGTAACTTTGTCCTGTTAGGGCTAAACAGCTCTGAATTACCTCAAGAGACATTCCTTTATATTTTCCTTTTAGCATTAGTTTCATTTTAAATATTCAGATGTAAAAGTGCAAGATGATACATCTGCCTCTCCTCTCTTAGCCTTCTCTGTACACAACTCAAGGCTTCCCTCCCCTCAGGGCTGCCAATCTTCTAAGCAGTGCTTCTCATGGACAGGGAGGATCTCTTTTTTCCAGCTCATCACTCAAACTGCTAAACCTGGTTCTTCGTCTTGAGACTAATGACACTTCCTGCCCCACCTCTTAAGAGCTGTTGTCAAACTCAACTGAGACTAGTGTTAGGGAAACTTCAGAGCACTGGGCAAGAAGACAGCATGAGTAAGAAACTCCATCTCAAATCCATGATGAGAAGTGATTAACAAATCACTTAGAAAATGTATTCTTTCCACTGCAGAGCACATGAGCAAGTACTGAAGGCAAGCAAAGTAAAAAGATAACTGGTGACAAGCTCTAGGGAAGTGAAGGTGGAGGACTTTGAAGGAGAAAGGCATGCGCAGGTACAGGAAATTTCCCAAGGCTTCAGAGCTGCCAGCGATGCCCCGGAAACCTGTGTCTTGTGCCTTCCTTGTGTATGAAAACCTTAGCAAATGAAACAGACTTGCAAAATGCTATTTCTTACCTCAAGTTTAGAAGATGCGCTCTTATTTTACTTTCTAACACCTATCTATAAAAATCTGAATTTGATGAATCACTCCTTTTGGAAAATGTCTGGCCTATCCCAAAAGAACATTGTTATACCAGTCAGTACTTCTGATTCAGTCTTTTTTTGTTTGCTGTGGGAGGGAAGGAACAGCTGTTTCTGTCTTCTTTTCCAGCTCAAAGATCTTTGCTAAAAGTCCCTTAACATAGACTTCTCGCTGCTGATCATACACAAGCCACTGCTGATTTTTCTCCAGAGCCTTGCAGTGAAGACAAAAGAAAATCAATAAGAAAACTCAAATATCTTAAAATGGACAATGGCGTCCAAGTGAAGTAGTCTTTTCCAACACATGAAAACTCATATGGCTCATAGAATAATATGAGCAACCACTGCATGTCACACACCTTTAAAATATAGTCATAGATTACAGGGGGTCAAGTTTGTTTGTTTGCTACCTCCCATACACAGCTTTGCTTTGTGTCTATGTACATGCCATCCTCTATAAACTAGAATGTCTTTGCAACAGGCATGTAAATGGGCTACTCAGATCCCTCTTCTAGAAAGAGCTCTACCTGGTTGCAGCAGAGGTTAGCTGACAGACTCCTGCTGTTAACTCCTTCAAGTCTCTCTGTGGAGCCAAGCTGGTGGCTCCAGTCAACTTCAAAGCAAGGGCTGAACAATTTCTGCCCAACATTGGTTCTACTCAGAAGCAGTCTACTCTGGTGCTCCCCATGGACCTGACAAAGCCCTTGTCAGGTTTCCATCATGTGTTCTGGTCACCCCTGGCATCCCTGCCTCTTCCTTTTTTCTTTCACAGATGTTGCTCCCCAATAAACCATTTGTATTCGTAACTCCATCTAAATGTCTACTGCCCAGAGAATCAGATTTAAATCATTGCATTCTTTATAATCACCAACTTTCATCCTTTTCTCCGTCTAAAACCCAACTAAAACCCACAAACTAGGGTCAGTCACCTGTTTGTATAGGGGTTTCATACTTGCAATAGGTTGAATACTGCCCTGTCCCCTGCCACACACCAATTTTTGAAAACTCAGAATGTGTCTTTACTTGGAAATAGGATCTGAACAGACGTAATTAGTTAAGATGAGGCCATACTGGAGAAGAGTGAACCCTAAATCCAATGCCTAGTGCCCATATAAGAAGAGAGGACACACTCAGAGAGAAGGCCATGTGAAGACAGAGGCAGAGGGTGGCTTGCTTCCATAAGCCAAAGAATGCCGGTAATCATCATAAACTACAAGAGATGGAAGGATTCTTCCTGTGGCCTTCAGAGGCACACAGCCCTGCTGACACTGACTTCAGACTTGTGGCCTCCAGACTGTGAGATGATATATTCTGTTATTTTAAGCAAACTATATTGTGGGAATGTGTTATGATGGCCGTAGGAAACTAATACCACAATAATTCAGTTCTTAATAAATGCCTACTTATTTTAAAAAATGATTTTCAGCTTTTTCCTGTTTGTTGTTTCTCTTAAACAGGTAAGTTCTTTAAAGTGAGATCCTGCTTTTCTGAGAGAATTCTTGGCTTCTGAGTACAATATATGCTCAAAAGAAATTATTTGAATGATGGGATGATAATAAAACAGGCAGAGTTTGTTTAAATGAGCAAGTAAGAGGGTGATGATTCACTTAACTATTACTGCTACCATTAGTTTTTCATTTCAATCACATCTTTCCTTTAAGAAACTGCACATGCACTGACTATCAGGCCACCTTGCATAAGGTTCAACATCTTATAGAAATCACCTCCCTCATTGGTGATTAAGACACTGGCAAATACATAAGAGGCTACATTAACTTTAGTGTACAAAGCATTAGTTGTGTACATTTACTAAAAATAAGAAATCCTACTATCAATAGATATTAGGAACTAACACAAATTCAAACCCTTTTATTCTAACTCTTACTTTCTTGACTAGCTAATCCTAGGAAATCCATCAAAGGCAAAGCAAAAGCAGTCTCTCCAGGCAGCCCAGCCATCCCCACTAATTACATACCACACTGCCCCTCACCTTCCACCCCATTTTTCTAGGAAAGGTGGCAGTTTTGCTACTGAAAGCAGGACATATTCAAGTTAAGAGATAGAGGGCTGGGAATATAGCTAAGTAGTAGAGTGCTTGCCTAGCATGAACAAGACCCTGGCCCAATCTCTAGCACTGCTAGCGGGGAAAAGACTAGTAATTCTTGCATAACACCAACAAACAATGGGATTATAATCCCTCTCCCCTTTCTAGGAGGATGGGATTGTGTTCCTCAGTCTACAATCCTAAAAGGATGGGAAGTAAGTCTCAATGACTATTTGTGCAAAGATGGCATGCACATCCAAACCTGATGTGAAGGGGCCCAATGGAGGTACACACAGTAACATGCACCCTAGGCCTAATATTCTCACAACGGCCAAACAACTCTGCCCTGAGCCCTCATTAACTGTTGCTAGGCCACAGCCTGTCTACCTCCACAGGACTGTCTATTTGAGGAATGATTCTCTATCAGATCTTGGTAAGCCCTAACTATTTGGGGATTAAAAAAAAAGAAAGTAAGAAAAAATAAGCACCAACTTATTTTTTTGTTCAACAATAGAAATCCTCAGTGGGAGAGTAATTTCCCAGTTGAGAGTGAGAGGAGATGCAGGCTATTCCTATGGGCTTTAGGTTAACATAATGCTCACTCAATGTGTTGGAACAAAATGGCCATCCTGACTTAGTCCAGCTTAACATCTTCCATAGTCCCCCAAAGTGCTGAATTGACTTAATAACAAAGTGTTTTTGAAAACTTCATGCAATTTGTGAAAATTATAGCTATCCTTCTTAGGCTAACATGAAAAATTCCCTCAATTTGTCTCTTCCTATTTCTTCTCCATTGCCACCTTATTCCCTATACTACTATGCATACCTTCCTTGCCTTGCTTAAACTCTTCCCTTGGCCAAGGATGCCCTATAACCCCTTCCCATATCAACTATCCACTAAAATTCCACCTTTCTTTTCATCAAGTTCCAGTAGTTCAGGTTTGCCTTGTAAGACTCTTCTTCTCTGACTGCCCTCATCAAGCTCTCTCTCCTGTAAGCTGACAGTACTTCTACTGTCAACACAACATACTTGGCATCTTGTATGACAACCCTGGTTGGGTCTCAATACTTCTTATCTTAACTAGATCATGGACCCCCTAGAGACTGGGTTCTAGGCTTGTTTAGGCATATTTAAATTCTTCTTTGTATATATTCATTGCTTCCATAGCAAGTGGCCATCTGATAAATGTGAATGATGATGACAACATGGAGCAGGAAAACAACAGCTGCGAGAATCAGCACGCATACCCAAAAAAAAAAAAGCCTTTTTGGTTCCCAACTGAGGTACAGCAGCATTCAGAGAAGGAAGGCAAGGCTATGAAAGAATCTAGCAGTTCCTCACACAGTAAGACAATAAATTTAAGAACAGCTCAAAGAAATACTTTCCAAAGTTTGTTAGTCACTGATTAAGCAATATGAAAATGTAAAGCCTTCTGTAACAGAACTCCAATGACTATTTCTATAACAATTTTGTTTTGTTTTGTTAAAACAGGGTCTCATTATGGAGCCCAGACTAGCTTCAAACTATCTTCCTGCCTCTACCTCCTGAGTGCTGGGATTATAGATGTCAGCCACCATGCTGGGCTGTTTCTATAATCTTAAAAGTGTTTAATATGCACAGCTTATCATAATTTGTCTAAGATCTATTTTATTATTATCATCTAATATCATCAGTTGACTAGGATGCATAACTTTGTATCCTTCAGGGCTGCCAGAAAGTGATAATACAAATGCAAGGTTCTTGACAAGAAAGTTGCATGGTGTTAAATTTAATGAAGTAAAACATGCATATGGAATGCATTTTCAAAAATGATCAGTTACTTTTGAATCACCCTGCATTTGTTGTAGGCATACTAAAAGAGGTGGGGGCTTATCGCCTCCATGAGCTGGCATCTCATGGTAAAGGGGTGAGGCAAATAAGTGGAAGTGCTACTCTTTAGCATATATTCAAAACAGGTTTTCCCCCAACGAACACTGGCTTCATACATCAGGGCTGAAACCCCTTCCTTTATATCCCATAGCACTTGCTATACATCCAAGGTTCATAGTAATTTGTACCTCAAAGATCTATAACAGGATCCACAGACCTCATTTCTCAAGAGTGGAACACAGATTTCAGATTACTAATTTTTGGGAGAACTATGCAGAGAGCTGTCCTAATCTAAAATAATCTATTATGCACAGACAAAATTCTTCTAGCTTAATTTCAATCTGCAAATAGATACAGTGTTTCCTTTGATGGTAGACACTCAGCCCAAACCTCTAGTTCCAGAATGAAGAGTAGCTAAAGAAATTTAACTTTTTGGTTGTGCCTCAGAGTATCTGCTTTCTGATAAAAATATTCATCTTTTAAAGACATAGGCAGTTAAAGCCTTACATTCACAAAAATCTGTACATAGGGAAACTCTTAAGTTTAGAGAGTTCCTTCAAGCTTTGGAAGGTTCCTACAAGCATCCTACAAACTCATGAGCAAAGTTTCCAGGTATGAGGCTTAAAGGATTTTCATCATCTGTTTCTTATAGAATTAGGACATGGATGAAGATGACAGAACCAACCCCTGGAATCAAAGACTTAATTCAGTGTCCTCCACACACTGACCCATATACTCTGCTCTCTGAACCCATCAGGCAGCTGTAACAGTAGCTCTCCTTGTGTGGCTTAAGAGTTTATTTACCAAGGTAGAGATACTGTATTACAAGGCAGAGATTCTATATTACATCCTCAATAATGTACAGTTCTGTCCATGGCTAGTTTCATTACAATAATTTGATTTAAATATTGTATCTCATTGTTGAATCTTAGTGTTAGATCTATACTTGTTCAATGTACTTTCTTTCAACACTTCTCTATATTTGACATTTTTCATAATAAAAGTCAGGAAAAATAATCCACCTCAAAGAAATATGAATATTAACATCTTAACTTCACAGCCAATCGAGTATAGTTGAGAGGATTGCTGAGACTCATGGCCAAGTAGAGTGCAACAGTCATTCTCTTATTCAGATCCACTGTCCTCCCCAGGGAGTTTCTTCTTTATACTCTGTACACCTTTCAAAGACTTATGAGGACCTTGAGCTCATGTTCAAATTTAGTTGCTAACCAAGACAGCATTGTATGACTCAAAAAACATATGGAGTGGGGCTGCAGGCATAGCTCAAGTGGTAGAGCACCTGCCTAGCATGTGTGAAGCCCTGAATTTAAACCCCAGTATCATTATATGCATATATGGAAATGTCACAATGAAACCCCTTGTACAACTACTATAAACTAATAAAAATCTTTTTTTAAAGTGATATCCCATTAAAAAACCAAAAGCTTAGTACCATCAAAAAAAAACCCCAAAGAACATGTATACATCCAAACTGTGTAATAAATTAGTGTATTAGTATTAGATGCTAAAGATATCTAATTTTATAGCTAATTTTACATCTGTCTGTATTTAAGAAATATCTTAATACAAACAATTCAAGCCAACATTGGATGGTCATAATTTTTTTCCTTTTAAATGAATGTATCCATACTTCAGTGAAGTATGAGAAAAAATATGTTGGTTTAAATTAAAATATTCTAAAGAGCCACGCTATGGCGATGCTACTTTAATAAAGTGAGCTTTTTGTTTTGTTTTGTTTTACTCCCTGCCTCTTTCCCCTGATTATGTGCACTGTTCTTCCTTCCCTCTGATAGTATTAAATGGATTGGATAGCTATGAATAAACCTCAGTATTACTAGTTTTGAATCATCAGTGCATAAGTTATCTCTTCCAATTGCATCCTCTACACATTCATGGAGCATGGACTTAACATTTTCAATCCAAGTTATCAATAAAAATGTAGACTGGGTGAAAGGGAAGTCCTATGGAATGCTGTTAATTTTCTTCCTCCTGTTTTACAGAAATATACATTAAGTATTCTAAAGACAAAAAATTCAACATAGATTAAAATGCTAGCTGTACTGGAGGAATAAAAAATGTGGGTCAGTTGTTAGAAATGGATCAGTGCTGATGGGTTAGATAGAAGTATTATGTCTATGTTAAATTTACCTAAGTTCCTATCTGAGCTACCATCAGGCAAGAGAGTACCCTCATTCTTAGGAAATACACGCTGAAGCATGTAGGCTTAAAGGGCAATGGACATATGCAGCCCACTCTCAAATATGTCAGAAAAAAAATACTATGTGTATGTGTGTGGGTGGAGGATGAAAGAGAAAAAGAGAATGCAAAATGTGGCAAAACGCTGAATTTTGGTAAAGGGTATATAGACATTATATGTACTCTTATGATTCTTGGAACGTTTCTGTTAACTGGAATTTTTCCAGAATAAAAAAAATAATTATCTTCTCTAAATTTTAAAAATCAGATTTTTTAAAAATTAAGAGCAAGAAATGTCTATTAAAACTGACTTTTAGGTATTTGGTCTGATGTAGTTTGTATTAAAATAATTCTTAAATACTAAAAGTACTGACATTTGACAATGTTTACAGCATGAACTCCAGTGATTATTTCAAAATGTCAGCCAGATCTAAATGGCAGTTGAGGAAAGATACCTTAGCAAAGGTAAACATATGTTTTTAGGGATTATTTTAACATAACAAATGCTGGTTCTTAAAATAGGTGGGCAAACTTCCACAGGAAGTCTACTGGGATCTTTGAGGGGGTGATGGGACCAGAAACTGTCAAACTCTCAAAAGTCAAATATTATGCCAGTGAGGGAAATGAGGAGTGAGGTGTCTCTTTCTGCTCCCTAAGTTCTCAAACTATAATTTTCTTCCCAGGCTCAAAGATTTGCTGAGATCCCAAAAGGAAAACCATAGCTAACCCACCTCTGGCCTCTCAAACCTAAGTTAACAGTTCTCAAACTTTAGTCCCAGGGCCTGTAGCAGGAGGAGCACTTGCTGGAAACCCAGAACATCAGGCCTTGCCCCAGACCTATTAAATCAGAATCTGCATTTTAAGAAAGTACCCTAGATTCATAGAGTCTGAGAAATACTACTCAGCCTAGTTGGATTAAATTTTATTGCATTTGTTTAAACACCTTTCAGAGTTTCCCAGGCAGAAGGAAAAAAAAGAGAAAAGGTGGTATCTTCAAGGAGTAGCAGAAAGCCAGGATGTAGAAATGGAATAAATATGGAAAAAGAGGAGGTATGTAATGTAAATTATCTGTAAATAGTACATCTTTTAGGTACTAATATACATAGAATGAAAAAGTTCAGTGTAACATATGACACAAAAAATCTACTTTCATATTTTTTTTTAAATTATGTTGCTCCTTTATTTCAGTTACCTCTAGGTAAACCACTTTGATAAGGGTGCTGTAGCAACCGGTACACAGATACTCCGGAGACTTAAGTTCTTTTGAAAATCAAACAGACTTAAAGGAACACTTGCTAGATTAAATAAAACAGCAATCTTAAGAGTATGCCTATCAGGGTAGACATGGCAATAACATTTCTATAATCAAAATACCTACCTATTGGTCTCATAATTAAGTTAAGAACTTTATATTCATGTATCTAATATAAAAACTTGAAAAATGCACTCTGAATAGCAGTGTTTTCAATTCCCAACAAAACCTACTTGTCAATTTAAGACATAAGTTAGAAATAATACAACCTTACCACATAGCTGAAGTAATCTACTACCAAGTACTTATAAGTACTAAGTTTACAAAGAATGTAACTGAAAGCAAACCCTAGTTCTAAGAGAAAGTTTAAACAAAAGAGTACATCTTACATTGATAAACAAAAGAGAAGAAACAATAAATTAAATTACACGTAATAATAAAATAGTTGAGCAAGTTAGATTGAGGTGAGTAAGGGATGCAATGGAAGTATTTGGTAGCAGGGTATGATTTGTAGGTCTGTCTAGCCTAAAGAGACCACATTTGGAGGAAATGGTTCCCTTAAAAGCCTGGGAAGACTTAGGTGATGTTCACAAACCACTCAGTTCTCCCTTCACTAGACTATTTTTTGGACTTGTGCTTGCTATGCAGGAGTTCTGCTACTTGAGCCATGCCCCCAGCTCTTTGCTAGATTTTTTTTTTTAAGTCATAGCACTAATGTTTCCAACTTTCACAAAATTCAAAAATAGATAAATTAGTCCTCTTTACCCACAACTTAAAAAAAGAAATGAACTTACATCTTTTAGCTGTATTTCTACCTCATGGATATTACTCATTGATGAGTTGAAGCAGTCTGCAGCCACAGTCTGTAAATAACCCAACATCAGACATTATACAATAGAAGTTTCCTCATCATATTTACTTGCATAAAAATACAGTATACTGCTCAGGGGCATCCCAAAATCCAGATCTGATACATGCTGGAAAACCTTCAAGCCAAGAGATAGTTACCAAAGGACCACTGTCAGAATTAAGATCCGGAAGTCTCCTAAGCAAATGATCTGAGTTCTGGACACCAGAATCACTAGAACAGCTTTAGTGTATATGAATAGCACAGTGATTTTCTTTTTACCAAAAGGAGTCAAAACAATTGGCTATTTCACTGAAATCTGGAAAACGTAAATTGGTAAACAAAAAATAGAAAGTTTTTTGTAGAATTATATTTTGTATTAGTATAGGTTGAATAGCCCTTATCTGAAAATTTTAGGACCAGAAGTATTCCATATCGTGGATTTTTTGGAATCTGAAGAATATCTGCATATACATAGTGAGATATCATCAAGATGGGACTGAACTCTAAGCATGAAATTCACTTATGTTTCATATACACCTTATAGCTGGAAGGTTATTACATACTCAATGTTTAGTGTCCCTGCATTCTTGCTGTGTGGTCCCATGAGATTAGGTATGAATTTTCCCACTTTTAGTGTCATGTTGGTGCTCAAAAAGCTTCAGATTTGGAGCATTTTGAATTTGGGATTTTTTTGGATTAAAAATAGCATTAATTTATAATAGCATTAATTAGTGTTAATTCACATAAAGTATATGAAACTCAAAACATATTTTCTCCACTTTTTTCTTCATTTTCTCATAGAGGAAAAGAGGGGAAGTAGACGACTATTCACCCAGCTGATAAACTGAAAGCTGTATTTCAGGATTTTTTTAATGAGCTATAAGAGAATTGTGTGAACACTTGACAAGGAAGCCCAAAATATTTGTTTTTCTCCTATGATGGTCCTTTCGCTGACCTTTTCTCAATTTAGCCCTTCAGGTAGAAACTATGACAGAAAGATTTCACTAAACCCCCTTCACTTTTCACCCTGGGCACACTGTAGACTCTGTTTCCCAGCCTTCCCTATGGTTAGTGAAGCCTTGATACTGAATTGTCGAAGGAATGTGGGCAGAAGTGAAATATGCCAATCCCAGGACTGGCCCAAACCTTCCTAGACAATTCCCGGGCTCCATCTCACAGACCACAGAAAACCTGGAGGAAGACTCCATCCTAAGGTACAGCCACTAGAAGGAAGGAACCTGGATCTCTGAATGACCCTGGAGCAAAGCCTCCTCCACTCCACTCTGTTCCAACCTGCACTACACTGTGACATGAGGGAAAAAGCAACATTTCTCCTGTAAGATGCTGAGATTTGGAGGTTGTTACTGCAGTTGGACATGCTGACAAGCAGAATACTGTAAAATTATTACAAGCACCAATCCTTAAAAATTACAATTTCTACTAGGATTTGCAGTTCATACTCAAAAGTAGAAAAACTAATTCTTGAAATTCAAGGAAATATTTTAACCAACCACTTTGGCTCTGACTGTAATGTTTCATGAGTTTCAGTTCTGTAAAAATTCTCTACAAAAACTCAACCTCTTTGAACTCTGTAGAAATGCTGGGTTGCCCATCTATGAAAGTACACATAAATGTCCAAGTCTGATCACTGGATCTACCCCAAAAGGGAGATCAAAGTACAAAGACAGTCCATTAATAGCATTGAGATATAATATTTGAAAGGTACAGATTTTCTTCTGTAGGAAGTATTAATAGTTGTGTTAGTATTATTTAAATGTCCAAATTTCCAAAAGAATCAAAAGGTCTGACCAATAAGTAACCATTTATGGAGCAGTTAGTATATGCCAGGTGTTTATGCTAGACAATTTACAAACATTATCACATTCAACCATCAGTATTCTTATCTTGATTTTACGGATGTGGAAATTGAGGAAAGGGGTCTGGTAAACTCTAGCATTGTCTCTAAGGCTAGAGAAGTTGAGGAATTTGTTCAGAATCACCAGGCTAGAAAGAGGCAAAACCAAGATCTGGACACAGATCTGTGTTTTACTTCTGAATCCTTGCTCCTTCTTACTACAGTAGTGCCATCCAAATAAGAGACGGGGAGAAAATACATGGGCAGTTAGTAAACGTATACCATACGCCTGCCATATGTGCAGACTTATTACATGCAGTTTTGACCAAATGCAGTAAAACAAATACACAAATTAAAAAAAAGAAATTTCAAAACCAAAAATGTTTAATTCCATGTGTACATTCTGCAGCTCAGATGATGCGGAGAAGCTATCAGTCAGCCCTGTGTTGTCTTTAGTTCTGTTCAAATCATTATGTGATCTGCTGAGTGCTTCCCTGCCCTTAATTTTGTGAAAAATCTGCCTCCCAAAAAAGTAAATGGTGCCCCAAAAGCAAGGTAAAAGTTAATGTGTTTAATTGAGGTGAACAAGCAAAACTTTACATTTGTTGAAGGGTGGGCAGCATGTCTTTAGCAGAAGTTGAGTGACATTATGGGAAAAAGCACTGAGCCCTGCATCCTGACCATGCATGGATTTTCCTCAACTCCATCCCCTTGGAACCACAGACCAAGGATACCAAGGGCCTACTGTGTTTGATTTTATAATCAAATATAAAAACAACCATAAAGTTAACTCTACTGTTTTCATGATACAAACTATAGAAACAGATCTCAACAAAGTCTTCTGGGCTATTGTCAGTACAGACTGGCCTCTGTCTTCTGAATATTCCTCTGGGCAAAACAATGGTGTAGGGGCATGGAAGGAATCACATTAACTGCTTTAGTTAAAAGCTTTTAAAAGAAGTAAGTTATCTTTAAGTTTACTATGTCATCTCTTCACTTGGCAAACATAGTTTAACAAACTCATTCTTCATAAGAATTGCAAATTGTATCAGAAAGAAACAAAAGGCTGGTCTAAAGAAATCATTAGCACCTGTGATAAACGAAGTGTACTGGCTTTACTTTCAAATTCGGTGAGTCTTGCCATCGTGGCAGACAACTGTTTCTTCAATACCTCTGTCTCTTCAGATAAAGACTTCAGCAACTGTTCCCTTCTTTCACCTTCCCTAGTTTTCTCTTCCAGCTGTTCAAGCAATGCAGTAGTACTATATTTGGTCTTCAGCTGGTCTCTGAGCCGCTGTATTTCCTTGTCCTTCTCTGTGAGGTGATATACATTCTTTTCCCTCTCGGCTTCAAGAACTCGGATTTTCTAGATATAAACTAAGAAGAAACTTAGAACAAAGCTAGGTCAAACTTAATAGCTACACAGTATACTGCAATAGATATTTATGAAACATTTATTATATATTGGATTGGCTTTTTTTATCAGGGCCAAAAAAAAGATGGAGCCCAATTCTATGCTCAGACAGCTCACAATAGAGATAAACCAATACATGAATGCAGTATGTGCTCTAGCTAGCAAATGCACACAATAAATGGACACAAACACAGACAAAGGAGAAACCATCTGTATCAAGGGTCATGAGAGAAAACTAAAAGAAGGCTTCTCATCTGAGTCATTTGAGAATCCTCCTTCCATTAGCTCTTATAAATCTAAAGGCTAAAAGTGGATGTCACAAGATATACATGCTCATTAGTGATCTTGAACCAACAGAACTTAAAAGCTTCAGAATGTTACAGCAGGATAAATGTGTTCATTAGTCTGCTTCCTGTTGGTAAATGATTTGATATTGAATCTAAATGGTGATCTTTACAAAAGTGCTCAACATTTTTCAAGATTTGCAAGATTAGTCACACTGATGCTAGCATGAAGGGAAAAAGAGCCAAGAGAAAGATGATAGAAACAATTATTAGAATGAGTAGGCTAACAGGGACAAAACAACATTAAGTTAAAACGTGCATTTAGAGAGAAAAAAGAAGCAGTTGTCCAAATATAAAATGGAGAAATTAAAATTTAGGTGGATGGTGACTAATATGAAAATGAAGAGGGGATTTTAGTTGGCCATAGCTTACATCAAATCACAACATAGACATATAGAGCTATATAATTTTTGGTTTTAATATAGTGCTCAGATAAGTAAATATAAAAATGCCATTTCAATTTGTATTTGCCAGAAAATATATGGGGCACTGTGTTCAGTTTTGGGTGCAAAATTCAGGAGGGATACAGACAAACCACAAAGTGTTGAGAATGATAAGAAGCAAGAGAAGCTGTAAGAATACGAGGTTGGTCTGCAGAAAAGTAAGAGGAAGCAAAAGCTCTTCAAATAATTGATAAACTGTCAATATGGAAAAGAAATAGACTTATTCTATGTGGCTCTAACGGGAACAATTAGAACAAAAAGGTAGTTTAGTTTCAACTGATTATAAAGAAACAAAGCACTCAATGCTTTCCAAAAATGGAATGGCTAGAAAGAGATCTCTAAGGAAAGCTATAAGCTTCCTCTAACAGACTGCTAAATAATTTTTATGTGTATGAATTGGTGATGGTTCATTTTTCAATGCTTGAATAACTATTTATCTCAATGTACACTGTTTAAAAAATAAGAAATCATTCAGTTTCATGATATGTCTATAAATGAAACTTAAAGAAATCAAATAATATACCTTTAATATTTTGTTTTGTAAATATGAATAAAAGTACTTTGGAAAAATAAATGGAAGCCAAATTTATGATGAAATTTTTAGATTCTACTAATATAAGCTTCTAACTTCCTTATTATCTGTGCCATATCAAATTGTAAATTAGGGGATCTGAAATACAGTTTAAAAGCATGCAAAATACGAATACATATAATAATTTTATCTCAAAAGCCTGAAACAAAGGTCATTTGGAAAGCAGTCAATATACATGATAAAATGTATTTTTAAACATTTATAGGGAAATCTGAACACCATTTAGCACTCTGAAATGGACAGAGATTTTAGTATATCTAAATGGGTAGATTTTATCTTTTACATTTAGTGAACTAACAGAAAACTGAATTATACAATTATTGACTAAATAATTTCTCCTTTCCTATAATGAGAGATATAAGAGGGGCTGGAAGTGTGGCTTAAGAGATAGAGAGCCTGTCTAGCAAGCACAATACTCTTAGTTCAAACCCCAGCTCTCCAAAAAAAAAGAAATGAGTGGGGGTTAGGGGGAAGGTGGCACAAACAATGTATACACATGTAAATCAATGTAAAAATGATAAAAGGAGAAAAGAAAAAACACACCAAAAAAGAAAAAAAAGAGAGAGAAAGAGATGTAAGAATGGCATGGTGTCCTTAAAGTACATACTCATGAATAATACAGTATCCCCAAAAGTATGGAAATAGAACAGTTCTAAGTCATACAGTTAATAAAAATCAGAGAAAACTGCAAATCAGTATAATTTATAACTTTAAATATATCATGCTTTGGTTTGAATGTGTACTCCAAAATTTACTTAATCCTCAATGCAACAATGTTGGGAGGCGAGGCCTAATAAGAGTGATAAAGGCAAAACCCTCATGAGCGGGTCCATGCAGTTGTCATGGGATTGGGTCAGTCAGTAATCACAAATAGGTTATAAAAATGGGCTTATTCTGGGCATGGTGGCACAGGTCTGTAATCCCAGTACTCAGGAGGCTGAGGCAGGAGGATCACGAATTTGAGGCCAGCCTGGGCTACATAGTGAGTTGTCACTATAATGATACCTTGCCTCATAAACAAAAAACAAAAAAAAAAAGCCCTGGTGTGTTTCCTTCTCTCTTTCTCTTTCTCTCTCTCTCTCTCTCTCTCTCATGTTCTTACTTTGTCCTTTCATCATGTTATGACACAGCACGAAGGCCCTCACCAGATGTGCCATGCTTTTGGACTTCCCAGCCTCCAGAATCATGAACCAAATAAATCTCTTTTCTTTTTAACTTATCCAGTCTTGGGCATTCTGTTACAGCAACATAAAATAGTCTAAGACATACCATAATAAAATTTGTCAAGAATATTAATGCATTCTTGCCTCCAGAAATGAGACAATAAATTTCTATTGTTAAAGAAAGGAATATTAGTATAGTCAAGAGAAATTATCAAAAAGCTATAGAAAGAATGACAAATTAGTCTATTCTTTTACTTTAAATAACTGAAAACCACAGTATTATATTAAAGGTGCACTTATTAATCAAGATGCCTTTATTTCTGAAACAACTTGTCCCTGATAACCTCAAACCTCACAACACATACTCAATTACATTTTAAAAAGAGAGAATGTAGTAATAACTAAAGTGTGTCCAAACGTTGGCAATGTCTAAGTAGGAATTTAAGATTCTGAATCCAAAATCAGCTTTCCAAAACTAATGAACAGTGTGGGATAAAGATAACAGCAAGAAGAAGGTAGCATCACGAAATCAAGATACACTGTTTGCCAAGAATGTGCACAACTTAAAGAATTAAAAAAGACAATTTACCTCCAAAAGCCTGTGTTTCTCTTTATCAGTCAGTTTTCCTTTTCCACTTGTGATTTCGGCCACTGATGTCTTTAAAGCTGCAATTTCTCCCTTAAATTTCTGTAATTCAGATTCTGATTTGGAGTTACTAGGCTTTGATCCCCACTTACTCTTAAGTAAATCTTTGGGACTTCTGGAAGACATCTCTGAAACGGTCTATAAAAATAAAAGTCAACTGTATTTTAAGTCTGATGTTTAAAAATTTAGATCTCAGGTTTGAAACAGGTCTAATAACCTATTTTGCTCTAAATAGAAATGAGATATTCAACTCAGCAGGGTACAAGAGAAAGACTGAGAAAGGCTTCTGGGGTGTTTTAACAACTTTTTAAAACTCTCAAGTGGTAGATATGTGAGTATTTACCTTGTAAAAAAATGTAAACTTCCATGTTTATGTTTTGTGCATGCTCTGCACACGTGCTAGCTTAGTAGAAAATTTCTATTTAAAAAACAATGGAGAGCACGCATGGCGGCTCACGCCTGTAATCCTAGCTACTGAGGAGGCAGATACTAGAAGGATCCTGGTTCAAACCTAGCCTGGATAAATAGTTTGCAAGACCCTATCTTGAAAAACACACTTGGTGGAGTGGCTCAAGGTATAGGTCCTGAGTTCAACCCGTGGTACCACAAAAAAAAAAAATAAAAAATAAATAAAAATTTTTGAAATGGTGAGCAGTATAGCACCTGCTTTGTAAGTATAAAGCTCTGACCAAAAAACAATGGGGGGGGTGGGGAGTGTCTCCAACCATTAAATGAAGCCTGAAAGAAGTCAGTCACAATCAAGGACATACCTTACCCAAGAATAAAAAGCTGGTGGTAATCAAATATGGAGTTTATTGACATTCCATTATGACCCCTGCTGTAGAAGATATGCCTAGCTTGGCTCTATCCTAACACTCATTTGGGAGAGTATGATGGAAAGAAGTGAGGAAAGTCTAAGATGAAACATTCAGAGAAAAAGAGGCACAATATCCAGGAGATTTGGGAGGAGAGGAATTTAGAATAAAGGACCAAATTAAGGAAGAAGAAGCTTAGTGTCTGTCAAAAGTACTAGATGACAGTTTAGAAGCAAATGTATAAGACAAACTCTAGCAAACAAATATATAGTGAAATATACTGTACATATAAACAGTATATAGGCCAGGACATAGTTGCATATGTCCCTGTAATCCCATCTACATGTGAGGCAGAGGTAGGAGTATCCAGGTGGGAGGCTGGCTCCACACAACAGGGAGAGAGATATTTTCTGAAAAATAAATAAAGTAAAAAGGGCTGGGGCATGGCTCAAGCAGTAGAGGGTGTGTCTAGCAACACCAGTCCCTGAGTTCAAATCCCATACTGCCAAAAATTCAATCAATCAATAAAAACAATATACAAATTAGTTTTTCATTAGGGAGGTTAAAAACATTTTCCATTTCATGTTTCCCAAAATAAAACGATGACAGTGTGATTAAGAAATTTAGAGGTGGATGAGACCCTGCTATTTACCAGGTACCCTAACAGGGACTGAGTATAAACTGGTTTAAAAAAATTACACATTCCCTGCTGGAGCTCTCCATCAGTGTAGTATAGAAGGCAGGCAACCACAACAAAACAAACACCAATTCACAGATTCTCAAATTGTAATAAATACTACATAGGAAATGCTCAGTGTATAGTGAAAAATGGTATCAATTAAAAATAGAGCAGATCTACTTAGATTGGGTGGTAAGCAAGAGACTTACAACATCATCCTGGGTGATATTAGAAAGCCTAATCCTATTAGAACTGTATAGACTAAACTGAACAATGTATCAAAAGGTTGGTCCTGGATTTTTTCCCATTAGAAGGTCAAAGGCTAAGGTAGCCAGTAGATCCACTGAGGCCAATGCAAGGTTATGGTGTCTGGGGAACCTGCTGCCACTGAAGTTCCTTTCTATGTGCTTTGTTAACTAACCGGATTTGATACGCTGGGTGGATAGCGACAGGAAACCGTAGAGACAGACAGACTGGTGGAACAGCCGCATTAGATAGAACCCTCAGGATATTTACTCCCTAACCTTTGGAGAGGCGGTCTAAATGGCGATGTTCCTGGCCTCTGGCCCGCTCTCTGAGCCCACCTGTCCACACAGTCCTCCCACAACCCTTTCCCTGTACTTTCTGTTCCAGTTCGCCTGTTCAGACCTTACCTGACCCAGTGGCATCTTCTTCAAAGAGCCCTCCCTCTGAGACACTCATAAAGGATACAGACTCCCCTGCCAAAATCTGGTACCCGAATGTACCAGCCTCTTTTTTTCCAATTGATCTTTCAGAGCCTATACTTCGACATTTTTTGGCCATCCAGAGTTTCAGAAATTATGTGGCTAAAGTGATCTAAGTCACGCTGTACAGCAGACCAAAGAAGCATTTCAAGGCAGTAAAGTGCACAAGGCATCTATTAGGGCCATGTGTTCTCCAGGGAGATGCAAACCTTAGAAAACCCTTCACTTGTTTTCTCCTATCTAAAACGAAGGTGTTCGTGAACGGGACCCGGAAGCGCTTGCCAATCGGCAAAAGCCATTCTAACCAAAGACTTGGCCAAGTGACTGGCTTCGGCGCCTCTCTAAGGAGGTGATAATACGCACCGCGGCGTCGAAAGCAGGAAAAGAGAGGATGATGGTCGAGAGGCACCCAGTCCGGTGTCAGGACAGGGTCATGTATCAAGGCGGACAGAGACGGAGCCCCGCGGTGGGGATCTGCCCGCCGACCCCGCCTCCCGCGCGGTCCCGCCCGGCCCGGGGGCTGCAGACCGTGTTGTCTTCGCCACCCTCCGCAGTCACCCAGCACCTGAGGCCAAGCACGGAGCCGGCGTCTGCCCAGCCACACCCTTCGGACGGACACCGCTTCCGGGAGTTTGAATCCCGCGGCTGCAGGGCGGGGCACGTCACTGCCGGCGGGGTGCGGCCTCCTGATTGGCTGCGGCTTCCGATTGGCGGGCGGGGAGAGTCGGGGGCGGGGCTACGGGGCGAGGCAGAGGACTGAACCACCTAGCGGGTCCGCTACCCAATAGTTCTGCGGCTGTCTGTCAATTTCTCTGAGGCTCCGGCGTTACTCTTCTTAATGGGATAAACCCAGTGCCCTCCATCCGGGCCGACTCGCTCTGTGTCCTGACGTAATTTACTCCCCTCAGGACCACTTTAATCTCTGTATGAAATGGAGCTTCTAGGGCTGCAGATGGAGCTCGGTCCTGGAACGCTTGCCTGGCATGCACAAGACCCTGGGTTCGATCTCCAGCGCCGCAAGGCAACAAGCAACAACAACAATAAAAAAGGAGCTTCTCCATCCCTGGAGAGCTGGAATCCACGAGGACTCATGGCTCCCTGTATTCACCGAGGACTGAGCTTTTACCCTGCCAGTCAGGGGTGGAGCACCAGGGAGTGTGACAATGGAGAGCTGATAAGAACGCCCAGGTTGAAGGCTGAGATTGTGAACCCCTGAGCCCAGGGCATTGGCACCAGATTACTTCTCTTAGGCCTGATGTCTCTGTTAGCCGCCTTGAGAAAGTTCTTTATCGTTAAGAAGAGACAGAAGTTGGCCAGGGCCTATCTTTCTTACCAAGCATAAACTCACTGGAAATTTAATCATACACAGTAGCAAAGCATCCTAAGAAAGCTATGTTGTACAAGGGTTAAACTCCAGTATTATCTGAGTTTAGCACTTGACTGCCTCTGTCTGGATGTGTAACCTCTAGGAGCCTGGGTTTCCTGATCTATCAAATGATGCAAATAATAATTACCTCATAGCTGCTTATGAGAATTAAATGAGGGAATCCATGTAAAGTGCTTAGCGTTTAATAAATGCAGTTAGGCATTGTTAAACAAAAGGCAACAAACTCATGTTACTGAATGGGATGGATGAGAAACCAGGTAAGGACAAGAAAAAAAGAAAGGAAGGCAGAAAGGAAGGAAGGAAGGGCGAGATGATGACATTTGGTACCTGCTTTCTGTAAATATACAAAGTTGTATTTGCTGCCACCTGATGGAGTCAATGAGTGGAGACTCAGAGTAAGGAGAGATTCAAAAACAACAAGCTGGCACACAGAAGACAGGCTTTCACCTTTTAATGGCTTTGTCCTAGGTAGAATCTTTAATATGACTTTTCAAGGGAAAATATGTGGGTCCCAGACAGGTAACTACTTCAGTTTTATAGTGTTTCAAAAGTAGCCTCTTCTGGAGGGTGGGCTATGCACATCTCATCTCCTTCACAAAACAACAAATGTCAGTCCAGTGGGTCTAAAAAACACATAAGTGATCAAAGTTTCAGTGTTGGCTAAAATAACTTGCATCTGGTTTTTGTTGTAGTCACCAGTTCTGGCAAGCACCTTCCAGGTGTAACCTTCTCTCTTAACTTGGGACTAGACAATGCTCAGGGACAGAGTGTTCCTAGCTAACTTTAGCAAGCAGTTAATTTGTAAATGATAATTTAAGTGGACAGCTAATTCTTAGGATATAGAGAAGGTGGAACAAGGGAAAAACTTCTGAGAATCGGTGCTCACTGGAGGGGCTTGTGTGTGCTTTCATTTCTAGTGGGAAGATGAACAGCTTGGTTCCCTCCACATCTGTGCGGTAAAGCATCTTACCAAAGGGGGAGGGGTGGAGAAAGCCAGCAAAAGTTAAATCGTGGTGTGAACATTATTCATTGTCCAGAAGTAAGATAAGGGCAAAATTCCTTTTCAAAGAAATTTGTAAAGATGATGAAGAATAATCTCACACCCAGCTCACCTTAGACCCAAGTGGAGAGCGGGTAGTGGAAGAGGGGAGATTGTAGAGAGGGGCAAAACCTGGCAAATCAAGCTGAGGACCTGGTGTGGGACCTGCTGAGGCAGAATTCCCAATTCCACACCCGCCCTCCAGGATCTTGCTTCCAGCAGTTGCACTCCCTGTGAGCAAGGGACTCTTAGGGAAGAAGACAGACAAGAGACTCATTGGCCTGGAAGACTTGTTTAATTTTGTAATTGTCATTGTTGGACCCAGTAGGTCCTGCCAGTCATTGAAGTTGTGAGGAGCTGGCAGTTTCCATAAGGTCTGTCAAGGTGATAGTACTTTCACAGTTCACTCAAGAATATTCTAGGACAAGGATTCAAAACTCCTCTTTATTCATGTAAAGAGAGAAATGGAACAGCCTAGCTG